AATTTAGTTGGAAGTTTGTGAGAAAACAAAGAATAACTTCTGTATCATTGCACTCTAAATGAACCAACTGACTGTATAAATGATTAAATCATTTTGAAATCTACTAAAAAAGCAGGAAAAACGGACCAAAGAAGGTAAAGCAAAGATCTATAGAGAGCATCAGAGATGAAGCAGCCTTTAAACTCTGGGTTTTTCTGATTTTCTACTATCAGGCTGACATTGATTGAACCTTTTCAACCAGATGGAGACTTTTTCCTCCAGCTGCGTTTTTGAAGGCCATGTTCTATTGTTCCTTCTGAGCAGGAAGAGATTCAACATGAGGCTACAGTGGAACAGGTCTGTTCAAAACGTCTACAGGCTACATTTACAGAAGAATATTATGTTTTCTTTCTATTTCTTTGTTTTCTACGGAAGTCCAGAGCGGTCGTGTCCCTCTGATACTTTTTCACAGTTATTTCCTTGAATTTTTTTCATTATCTACAGAAAACGAAACCGTTTTCTCATCATAACGAGATGATTGGTGATAAAACTGATTTCAACCTTCAGTACCACAACAGCAGGAGAGGATTTATACGTTATGGCAGCTTATGTGTCATTCTGCAAATAATCCTGTCTTTAACTTTTAGGTAATGAGACGACGTTGCTGGTTTGAAGATTTGCTTCCACTTCTGATTCATCAGCAGTCAGACCTTCGCCTCCAGGTGTTCCGCCTGGAACAGCTGTAAGATGCATTAACCCCCAAAATGAGTCCAGATTAAAGATTTTCATTTAAAAAAAAAGTCAGATCTGTTTCTACTGCAATCCAATCATCCACCCCCACCTGACAATGAGTGGAAAGAAAAAGGAAAGTAAAAAACTGATTATTTGCAGCCACATGGTGCCGCAACTGCACAACGATGGGCCCCGCAGGCATGGATGGACTGGGAATCCAGGGCTGCATAAAAAAGTATGCAAAAATGATCTAGAAATAAGTAAAAATGTCTTAAATCATGTGTATTTATCCTTAATTTTAGTAGTTAAATGGGATGATTTGCCAATGGAATGAGCATTTCACTCTTAAAATAAGATAATTAGATAATAAGCACTTGAAATAAGACAATGCAATTGTTTTTTCTTATTTTAAGTGTCTTGTTCCATTGGAAAAATGTCTCACCTCCTCAATTCAAGACAAAATGACTTATTTAGATTACATTTTTTTGCAGAACAGGTTAATCATCTCGTTATCTTAGGAAATCAATAACTGTTTTCTCGTGATAACGAGATAATTTTAATGAGAAAACAATTAATGGTTTAACTGTGATAATGAGATAGTTATGTCATTATATCAAGAGGGCAAAAGAAAAATAAATTAGAGTATGACCTCTCTGGGCTTCCATAGTTATCCCGGTGATTAACTCATAATTTAACCCAGAAGCAAATGTAGGACCCTGGAGCTCTGCACACCAACCTCACTGCATTACTGCAACAAAAAAAACTATTTCATGATCTTATTTACTGGAAAGAGATTTCTATCTTGCATGTAGGATTTTTATTTTTTTATTTATCAATTTATTTTGTTCAGTATAACCAAAGACAATAGTTATAAAAAATAACAGTGACACCCAGAGGCACCGACTGCTTAGATTTTAGACCCAGTCACAGCAAAGCGTCGAGCTTTGATGCTCCGCCTGACGCTGTGTAGCAATGGTTCCTCAGCAGGAGACGTCAGCATAGCAGGCAGCAGCATCCATCACTAACGCCGCTCCTCTGGTTAAAGGACGCCGCTCTCACCCTTCTGATGCGGCCCTTTGGTTCCCAATAATAAACAAGAGCTTATGCTCCCCACAGATACGCTTACATCAGCTTCTCCATTAAACCGAGCACACAGGATCACAGAGAGGGCTGTTTATGGAGGGAAGCAGATGAATAATTCTCCATCATTTCTGACAAACAGGGAACTTCTTTTCAGCACAATCCTAGCAGGGATGTGTCGGAGCATCCAGAGTTATTATAATCAGAAACGTAATTAATTATTAACTGAAATATTATTGCAAGCAACACATTGTTCTCAAGAAGGGATCAAAATGTTTGTTAACTTCTAAATCTTAGATATAACTGAAAACATAAAAGTTGAAACAGAAAATGTAGAACTTTCAGATTCAAAACAATTTATTTCCGGGTTTTATTTTTCCTTTTTTACTCTTTCAAATCAGTTTTTTTCACATTCAGATTTTGATCCTGTTGTCCGAAAATTTAGATTTCTCTCTATTATATATTAATTTATCCTATTTACTCACTATTAAAGTTTTCAGTCAGTCTGTTTCTCTGCAAGGCCAAACCATTCTCCAGCGTGAGGAAGTTTGTAGAGCAGCAGAGCTTCTTCCATAACAAACCAGATTCTTTCTCAGGTTTATTCATAACATGTTACTGTTTAACCAAAGTGTCTGTAATTAGTTTTGACTCTGACTACTTTCCATCATTGTCAGTAAGGAGGAACGAACGCTGCTCAGATCAGAACAGGACTGATTACCGTAATAAGGGCCGCTTGATGAACTGTTCTCTCTTCGCAAAGATAAAATAAAGAGCTGACTGAGTGAAATCCATCGATATCTGTTTATTTAACTGGAGTAAATAGTTAAATACTTTTTTTCATACAACAGGTTCAATCACTTAGAAAGTGCAAACCTACCAGTACGTGGCTGTCCACCTAAAGTGGCAGACTGGGAAAAGGAGCCATCATGGATAAGCTGCAGCTCAGTGTGAGAATCTGATGACCACTGTGGAGGAGCACACTTAGTACACATACACTACCGTTCAAACGTTTGGGTTCAATTCTATTCAGTTTATTTCTATAGCTCCAATTCACATCATGTCATCTCAGGTCAC